AGCAGCAGCAGCAACAGCAGCAGCAGCAGCAGCAGCAGGAGCATACAGGTTTCTGTGCTAGATCCCAGAGCAGTATTTGTCCTACACCGCCAAGAGCAGCAAAACGAGGAGACTGCGAGCCCAACGCCATGCTGCTGCTGTCTGCTTCAGAATTTAAAACAGTGTAGCAGCAAACAGAAGGAAGAACGCTCGCGCTCAATGCAGCCTGCAGCAGCAGCAGCAGCAGATGCAGCAGCAGCAGCAGATGCAGCAGCAGCAGCAGCAGCAGTAGATGCAGCAGCAGCAGATGTAGCAGCAGCAGCAGCAGCAGCAGCAGCAGTAGATGCAGCAGCAGATGTAGCAGCAGATGGAGCAGCAGATGGAGCAGCAACAGCAGCAGAAATAGATGGTGCATTAAGAACAGATGCGGCAGCAGCAACAGAAACAACAGAAGCAGCAGCAGCAGCAGCATCAGCAGCAGCAGCAGCAGCAGTATAGAGACAAACGCAGCAGCAGCATCACCAGCAGCAGCAGCAGCAACAGCAGCAGCAGCAGCAGCAGCAGCAGCAGCAGCAGCAGCAGCAGCAGCAGGAGTAGTATGTACTCTATTTTCAGCATGAGTTTTAATTTGTTTTCGCAGCAAAAGAAAAGCCTCAGTAGAGGCCTCCGGCAGCGGGAGGAGACACCTCGGCTCCACCAGTTCTGTCTCCTTTAGGGGCTCTGACCCTATTACTCGCACTCTCTGCAGCAACAGTTTTGCTTTTTTTTTATTAAACACTAAACCCTAAACCCTAAACCCTAAAGAGAAAGAGATAGAGAGAGAGAGAGAGAGAGAGAGAGAGAGAGAGAAAGGAGAGGGGGAGAAAGAAAGGAGGGGAGGAGGGAAGAGAGAAAAAAGAAAGAAAGACAGAGAGAAAAAGAAAAAAGACAGAAAGAAAAAGAAAAAAGACAGAAAGAAAGAAAGAGAGAAAGAAAGAAAGAGAAAGAAAGAAAGAAAGAAAGAAAGAAATAGAGAAGAAAGAGAGAAAGAAAGAAACAAAGAAAGACAGAAAGAAAAGGGAGAGAAAGAAAGAAAGAAATAAATAAATAAATAAATAAATAAATAAATAAATAAAGAGAAAGAAAGAGAAAGAAAGAAAGAAAGATATATAAATTAATAATTAAGAAATTAAGAAAGAAAGGAGAGATGAGAAGGAGACAGAAAAAGGAGACAGAAATATACAATAAAGGAGACAAAAACAAATAAAAAAAACAAAATAAACAAAAAAAAAA